CGGGGGCGGCGTCGCGGTCGGAGGAGACCGTGATGACCGGCGGATCCGGGCCGTCTGGGTGGAGGGAGGGCGAGAGTCGGAGTCACTGGGGCTCCTCCAGGACCCCCGGGGACTGGACCTCCAGCCCTCCTCCCGAGGGACTCGGGAGCCTGGGCCCCAGATCCCTGCCCCCACCCGCGGCCTCCCCCGACTCACAGAAGACGCTGACGTCGGCCGCGGCCTCCCTGTGGCCGAAGGGGCTCCGGACGCTGCACGTGTAGCGGGCGTGGTCGCTGCGCGCGGGGCGCGCGATGAGCAGCTGGTCGCCCTCTGCGCGGACGCGGGGCGGCTCCGCCCCCGCGGGGTCCGCTGCCTCCAGGGCGCGTCCGTCCCGGCTCCAGCTCAGCTCCCCGCGGCCCGGCCGCCACCCGACGCAGCGCAGCCGGAGCTCGGCCGCCCCCTCCTCTGTCTCCGGGGCCTGGGGCTGCACCGACAGCTGGGGCAGGGGCTCTGGGAGAGGGGGAACGGCTCAGGACCAGTCCCCAGCCCCCCACACCCCCACACCTCCCGTCCTTTAGGTCCGGGACTTCAAGCCCCAGCCCCCTCCACCCCTTACACCCAGGACTTCGGGGCCCAGCCGCGGGCTCCTCTTAGCGCCAGGAGTCCTCCTCTTCTCACAGACCCATTGAGTCTGGGTCCCAGCTCTCTCCTCTCCTGGACCCCAGGAGTCTTGATCCCCAAGTCCAACTTCCCTCAAGCATCCCTATCTTGGCCCCCAGCCCCTTTTCTCCTCCCTCGCTCCAACCCAGAAGTCCTCTCTCCCCTGTCCAGGGATCCTTCCTCTGGGGAGTAAACATATCCTCAGAACAGCAGTGACCCGCCCCAAGGTCTGGCAGAGCCGCCCCCGCAGCCTGCACTGCGGACCTCAGGGCCCACTTACCATACACACCCACCGTGAACTCCCGGATCTGCCGGGAGACTCCGGCCCGGATGACTTCAGCCGTGTAGACCCCGGCATCCTCTAGCTGGGCAGAAGCGAGTTCCAGACCCCCTCGGGCCTGGTCAAATCGCAGGCGGTCTCTGTGAGCGGGGTCCAGGCTGATCAGAGGGGCCCCTGGCCCCAGGCCTCCCGCTGCCAGCACCTTGGAGCCCCTGCGCCAGACCACCAGAGGAGCAGGGGGTCCAGGGTTGGGGACTGGAACCAGGGGGAGCTGGATGGTGGTCCCCACCAGCACCGAGAGAGGCCCCCCCACCTGCTGGGAGAAGCTTGACGCTGGACCCGCCTCTGCAGCAACTTTGGATTCGGGGGGTCTCTGGGAAGAGAATTCAAGATCTGGATCCTTGGGGGAGAATTTTGGGGCCTCCACAGATACTTTAGTATCTTGAGCAGAAATGTTTGAAGCTGGGGTCTTAACAGAGAAGGAAGGCTCTGGGTCTTTCGTAGGAACTTGAGGACCCAGGATATCAGGAAATACTTCAGGAGCAGGAATTTCAGAGAAGGTGGGATCCAGGGTCAAATTTTGAGCCTCAGCAGAAACATTTGACCAGAAGGACCCAGGCACGTTGCTCGAATTCAGGGCCTCAGGAACCCATTTGGAATGAGGGATAGCAGCAGAGGCTTTTGAACCTGCAGACAGATCCGGAAGTTTCCAGCTGTGGGGTTTGATGGAGGGAACTTTTGAACCCGGGCCCAGGGAAGAGCTTTCTGAGTCCAAGGAGAAACTGGTTTGCTGAACTCCAGAAGTGGCTCTGAGGGTGAGGCCCCCTACTCCAGAGGCTGCAGAGGAGAGGAGGGAAGGGCGTTGCGGGGTGGGGTGCTGCTGAGAAGGGGCACCAGTGGGGAAGGGGCTGAGGGGCTGAGCAGGGAGCTTACCCAGGAGCAGGAAGAGAAGCAGAGCCTGTGAGGTGTCCATGGTGCTGGCCGCACCCGTGAGGACACTGGAGTGAGACCCAGAGCCAGTGTCTGTCCCTCCCTGTCCCATGTACCTCCTGGTTGGGACGAGTCAGACAGGACTGGTAGCTTCCTGGGCGGGGAAGGGAGCCAGACCCAGTGGGAGGTACCAGGATCCCCCATCCCAGTCTGGTGGCAGAGCCGCTCACCCCACCCTGCTCATCTTCATCAGTTGGTCCCTTCGGAGGGGAGATCCAGCCTCTGGCTCCTGCACTTGCACCCCCAGGGGGAAGACGGTGAGAGCTAAGTCCCAGCTGGAAACTTGGCAGCAGCCTCAGCAGAGCCAGGAAGACATCCTGGAGGAGTGTGAGGTAACCTTTCAGAGAGCCCCACCTCTCATGGCCTTGGTCTCAGCTCAGGCTTCCTCCTCCCCAGTCTCCTGGCCTCAGGTCCACTCTGTCCTGCCTGCAGCCTCAGATACCCGTGTCTGATCCTGCTCCTCCTCTGCTCCAAACCCTCCCATGGCTCCCTGTTGCCCTCAGACCAAAACTCAAGTGGCTCTCTCTCACCATCCAGCCATCTCTCCTGAGACCCAGAGCTGCCTCTTTGGTCCCCAGGGCCCCCACATGCACTGCGTCCCACTAAACTCAGTGCCTTCCCTCTAACCCCACACCCCTCCTGGGTTCCACCATCCATGCAGAGGCTGGGAGCCTTCCTCCCTCCTCCCTACCCTTTTCCCCTGTCAATCTCCAAATCCCACCCTTTCTGCTCCCTGAATCTCTGCCTCGTCCCTTCCTCTCTGTTCCCACTGGCCAGGCCCCCTCACCTAGCCTCCTTCCTCCAGCCATGGATCCCCACTGAGTCTTTCTACCCCCAAAACTGACCCTGCCCCTCCTCTGTTTACAGTCTTCCCCCCAGCACCCTCAGGAGACATCTAAGCTGCCTGGCCTAGGACCCACCCATGCCCTCCCCTCTCCAGCACTTACTCTGAACACCCTGCCAATCTTATGCCCCATCCCTCCTCTCTCAGCCTTCGCAGGCAGTTTTCTCTGCCTGGAATACCCTCCCTCATGCCTCGCCCCCTCTGGCTAAACCACAACCTGTACTTCAAGTCTCACCTTATTAAGAACCATAATAATAATTACCACCTATCAGGAACCATGCAAAAAGCTTCCCAGGCATTATTGGGCTGAACCCTTCCAAACACCCTATGAGCTGGGTGTTATCATTTTACAGGCCAGGGACTATGGCTCAGAGAGGTCAAGGGACCTGCCAGAGGTTGCACAGCCAGAGGGAGGAGCTGGGCTTCGGCTCAGGATAGACTGCTTACTCCTTCTGAAAGCTTTTCCTACCACCCCATGCTGGGCTTAGGGCCTCTGCTCAGCTCCCGGTCCCCTGAGCTTACCCAGGCACAGTCCTCACCATGCTGATAATAATAATAAAGTAATAATATATAGCGAGCATTTTCTGTATGTCAGGTGTGGTTCTGGGGGGTGCTACATTAATTAATCATTCAAAACCCTATGGGGTAGGTTTTGTAGTTTAAAGATGGCTGCAAATTTGACCCTCCTCCCATTAAGGAGGAGGGCCTAGGTCGCCCTCCCCTTCCTCTATCATAGAACACTCCCTCTTGGAACCCAGCTGCCATGCTAGGAGGAAGCTCCAGCAGCCCCAGGGAGAGTCATCAGGAGAGGCCCCTGGTCAACAGCCACCTCGAGCCAACAGCCCCAGCCAGCTTGTGGGCCACATGACTGAGCCCACCAGCTGGACTTGATCCTCTGGCCCCATGTGAGCCACCCCAGCTGACGCTGCATGAGGAGAGGCAAGCTGTCCCCACCACGCCCTGCCCAAATTTCAGATTTATTAGCAAAATAAATGATTGTTGGTTTAAGCCACCAAGTTTTGGATTTGTTATGTCACAACAGACAACCAGAACACAGGCATTGTTACTAACTCCACCCGATGGAGGAGGAAGCCCAGGCTCGGAGAGTAGGAACTTGCAGAGGGTCCTCCCAGAGCCAGGGTCCTCCCAGAGCCAGGGTCCTCCCAGAGCCAGGGTCCTCCCAGAGCCAGGGTCCTCCCAGAGCCAGGGTCCTCCCAGAGCCAGG